TTGCTTCATTTATGTAGTTGTTGAATTGATTCAACAACTATTAAATTCGCACGACTGCCTGAAAATTCAAGTTTAAATTTTATACTTTTTTTTTTCTTTTCATTGCAATTTTTTTTTGGTCTAAGAAAAAGTAGTGTCATTGACTTCAAGTTCAACACAAACTCTGTTCTCGTTCTCTAAATCTTTCATTCTGATTAGCATTTGCTTTCATCAATCTTCTGAAGTGTTGGATCAAAATATTTTTCTGATTTCATTTGTTTGCTATTATACCACTTCGAAAAAAGCTTTTCACTATCTAATCTCTACTTAATATTTTGTTGTTGTATATTATACCGCGTAATTTACGTAATAGTTAGCTTATCATCATTTCCTTTGAACGAAAATAATTTATTCGATTTCTCGTCAAAGTTTCAATGATCCGACAAAAAGTACAACTGTGTTTCAGACGTTCGTTAAGATGAAAGAAGAATTAAAGTTGTTCCTCGTAAACTAAAGAGATAATATTTCTTTAATGTTTAGTGATATGTATTTTGTTGGCGATAATTGGTACATCACCATATTTGAATAGTTTCATTGATAAAAGTTAAAAATTGATTTCGTGCTACAATCTAGAAGTCATCGTCAACAAATAATTATAGTATTCGATAAGTCATGTAAAAATCTAAAAAGGGTTTGGTGGTCTTAAAAAGTTCAATTTGTGTATAATTACAAATAATATAATCTATATTTATGTTTTCACATTCAACAAATGGAGGCTTTGAGTGAACTAATTGGTAAGAAAATCCTCATTTTGACTTCTGAACTTTGAAAAAATTTCAACTAAATTGCCAATAAATTAAACATCAAGTTTGAAACTAATTCCAATCATCCAGTTTTAGTTTTCAATCGAGATTTTCCGCGTTATATTCATATCAAAATCCCCGACGACAACCGACAACGGTACGCGACTGATTTTTGCTTCTTCATCTTTTTTATTCTTTATTCACTGAGGAGATGAAGGTGGTTGATAGAGGCAGCGGAAGGAAACACGTATATTCATTTTTGTGATGAAGTCTGTGCTCAATGGGATAGATCAAAACATTGACGACAACCGACAATGGGTAGAATTTTTGCTGGTAGATGGGCTGGGGCGAGGAACGCGATTGGTTTTTGCTTATTTCTCTTTTTTGTTCTTTACTACTGAGGATACGACGGTGGTTGGTAGTAGTGGAAGAAGGGCACATAGGGCGGCGGTGGTGATGGGTGAGGGGCCATGTTTGATGTACGTAATTTTCTGTAAGTAGGAGTGTTATTTCCCTCACATGCGGTATGAACAAATTTTTATGTACACCAAGAATAATTCATTGAATAGACACTTTTTATTATTTAATTTTTTTTTTTGTGCATTTAAATTTACGGGCGAGGATGTCTTTTTACAACAATTTAACGGATATTTTGGATGAAAATCGCTTCTAGGGTGATGGCTGGAGAACAAAAAACGAATATAACATAAATACTACAAATGGAAAGGTTGTGGACCTTAAGAATAATTTACCCAAATACGATAAATGAAAGTGCAAAAAAATGCAAAATGTATGGGATGATATCTCCTTGTGAAAGTTGATTCGAACACAAGAGATGCGAACATGGTCCAAAAAGAGGCAAAAAAAAAAAAAAAGAGATTACAGTGCTTTCTCGTGAATGAGTTGGAGTCGGAGTCGGAGTCGGAGTCGGAGCGCTTGCTTTTGTTCATATATTTTCTTATAGATGAACAAGATTTCGTACGAGCGCTAGACTATCAATTTGTTGACTCTCAAAGGTATTGAATTTAATTCTATCGGAAAATAATAAAAAAATAAAAATTCTCGCATCATTGAAGATTTATATGATAACCTCATCAAAATGCAACAAAATTTGAGTTATAAAAATTATTTTAGTTATTCATTCAAGAACAATGAAGAACAAGAAGCCATGAATCAAACTATATACAAATCTAAGAAACGTGAAAAAATACCTCGCTTAGCATGCATTATCTTTGATTCCTTCAAGATTTAACTATAATTCTCAAATGCTCATATGGGAGTGCTTAAATTATCATTTACACAGCAGGTCCCACAAAATTTAAAATAAATTGTGAGTTTATATAATGTATAAATAAAAGGGTATGTGACCCAATTTAAATTTTATCGAACATGATAATCTAGTTGTCTATGTTTAGACATCTAACAATTAGATAGTCTAGATGCCTAGACATGCTACAACATCTAAATTGTGGAAAAGTTTGCAAGTGCCGCTCTGAACATCGATAAGTAAAGTATATGAGTTTTGGTTTAAATTATAAATATGTATAAATGAATGATAAATAAATGAACAATATTCACGAGTCACTCGAAATATGTTGATAAAAAATTACTTAAGTATTTATAAATTATAAATATTTTGAAACATGAAACACAACATAGGCTTGTAGGAAGTTACAATTTCAACATTACATTTATTGATATCTTATCTCCTTTTATTTAACATGTTTTTTTAAATGTCTATAATGAATCAATTTTAATATGATTTAACTAATTAAAGTAAAGCATTGAAATCTATATATTATTAAATGCAATCATTACAAAATAAGAATTGGTGTGAATTTGGTTCTCCAAACTATTTTTAAAAACTAAAATTGAGTGTGGTTTAGATCTTATTTTTTAAGTGTTGACACTATGAAATAGAGGTCCGTATTTAGATAGTCTATTGATGATGATCTACGAAGTTCTTTAATTTTTAGGCTAATTAGCACAAAACGTCCCTACCTTTGGGGTTGATTTTGAAAACCATCCATACCTTTCATTTCTTGGCATTTATACCCTTACCTATCACTTTTCGTGCGCTGAACGTCCTTTTCATCATATTTTGACCATTTTACCCTCAATTCAAATAAAACAAAAAGAAAAGAAAAGAAAAACTAAAGAATTAATTGCAGTCATGCTCCCAATTTTTTAAAAAGTGCAAATTAGTCCAAAATCCTTATTAAAACATTAAAAATAAAAATCTCTCTCTTCTCTTCTCGCCTCATCCTCTCTACGGCCACCTTCCTCCTCCAAAAAATGACCACCAACCGCCACCAAAGCTGTCGGACATCACCAATGTCAAGTCCATAACACTAGCTTCCAGCACATCCAAACATCAAGAAATTCCATCTACAAAATTGCAAGAAATCGAGC